TTCTCTCTCTACAGCATCGTCTCCATGGCAACGCACTCCTCTGACTTAGGCCGCTCCAGCATTACTGCAGCCAATCTAAACACCAATACAGTTAAAGTCATACAATTTATAATCAACTTCTGTACACCTTCCCCCCCAGAAAAAGTTATTTTTGGACCATTCTCAGTCCCGGAATGGGCAAAAATAATTCCACAAATTATCCAACAATATCTAAATACACAATATTTCTGAAATGCAATCACAATATGGTTAAATACATTATAATTCATACATATATAAACCTTTAATTAATCAGTTATCTATTATCATCTATGGATGTGGTATCAAAGACTCACATTTCTCACATTTTTCATATAAACAATATATCTAAACATTTCTATATTTATACATATATTTGTAAATATTTATTGCCTATTGCAAAACTTACATACCTACCACACTTTAATATTACACTACCTTACACATACATTACCTTTTCCTCTATCTATTCAATTCTCCATATCAACATCAAATATCCTTGTCCAAATGTGTTTCTATCCCATTAACATATATAATTGACCTTCTACCTAGTTTGGTCAATTTACAAGACATTTATCTATATACCATACCACAACTTTTCCCTATATATATGGTTCCAATTTGTTAATAGCCCACACAATAGTTAAACTTTCACATTTGATCAATGACATAGATGTCTTAGTGTCCAATGTCCCATGGTTCAAACACAACCTCGGTTGTACTGGACCAACTGTCCACAGCAATGTCTCTTTATGATGATCTTTTAGCTTCTTTCTTCCACTCCTTCGTTTCTTCTTTTCAGGTTTCCTCTTTTGTCTTCTTTGGATGTCTTCTCGATCACCTGGAGATACGGTTTTCTTCCTCATACGACGTCTGCAAGTCTTTTCTGCTCTCTTTTTTGTTGCTGGGGTTTCTTCTTTTAATCTGACCTTCCAATTATCAGGAACAGTTCTGTTTCCATCGATTTTTAGGGCTTGAACAACGGCTTGCTTCCATGAAGCATCAGGTTGTAGTGAATAATCTGGAATTCCTCGAGCATCTTTTCTTGGCACTGAAGAGAATTCACTGTCCTTGGAAGAACGAACACGAATACTGTCCTTCTTCATTGCAATTTTTCCACTGTAGTCTGGATGAACCTCTATAGCTAGAAATTGTAGCTTTTTCTTTTTATCACCACCAATATAGTCTGTGTATATTAGTTTTCTTGTCAGTCTATCAGCTTGGCTTTTATTTTCTCTTTCTTCTTTGTTCAAGGATAAAGGAGATTTCTCTTCCGATATATGGTTAAATCTTGTAGTTATCATTTTGTTGATGCCAGCTCTTTGATAAGTTTCACTTAAACTCTTATCTTCAGCTATAGTTCCATTCTTTAGAACTTCTTTTGTATGATCATCTGGAACTTTTATAGTGGATGAATCATGTCTAGAAGTCATCTTAACTTCAATTAGCCCTTCAGGTGTATGGATCTTTGTTTCACAGAAGACCCCTGGATATTCTGAACTCGCATCAGCTTCTACTGTCACATCCAGAGTTTGTTTTTCTTCAGCTTTCTCTTTTGATTTTATTTTATTGTCTTTGTCAAAAAGTTCGGCTGAGGTAATTTCTTTACATGGAGCTGAAGGAAATACATCTTTTAAGGTCAAGGATTCCTCTTTCTCCTCAGAGTTTATCACTTGTCTTTCCAGACCTATTGTTTCTATACTCTCTTCACTGGCTCTCAAATAATCAGCCACTGGAATCGGCTCTGCTGCAGGGCTTGTTCCTCGTTTGCATGGTCTCTTCTGGCTGTACACTTCTGACTTTATATTTGGAACACCATCTTCAGCAATAAATCTATAGGGTTGTTCTTTTGCTGATACTGTGGGGTTTTGAGCCAAAGCGAACAAAGGTTTTAGAAATTCATCTGCTCTTTGTTCCTGTTGAATTTCTCTGACTCCTCCTGTCTTCTTAATAAGCTCAGCAACCGTAGTGCTAGATTCTGGATTCTCATCCCCATCCTGTTGTATGGCGAAACACATGGCTTTTTGATCAGGGCTTTTGTTGTTATATTCTTCCTCCTCACACGTCATTTTCCAGTTTTCAATCTTCTTAGCCAGATCATTTCCAATTAAACATCAGTATGGTATGTCTGGACTGACTGCAAAATCCCACATACCCTTCCAACCTCCATATTCTATTGGCAAAGTCACCACTGCTGTTGGTATTGCAGGTCCCAAGCCTTTTAATCTTATTTCAGAGGTTGGCCGCTGAAATTTCTGAGGTATTATTTCTGGATGTACAATACATACTTCGGACCCTGTGTCTCGAAGTCCTCTCATGTCTTTGTTGTCAATGGAAATGGATTCTAAGTAATCCTCCGTTGGGGTGTTTGACAAAATGAACAAACACTGTTTCTCTTGAGGCTCTGTTTCTGAACTCTCCTTTGACACATTATTTGGTCCTGTCTTCTTTGTTTCTTTTACTTTATTAACAAAGAGGGTTGTTTTCTCTTTTCTTAAAAGGGGACATTGATACCTTATATGGTCCCACTTTCCACACTGAAAACACCTTCTTTTTCCCTCAGGAGCAGTTTGACTTGTTACACCCTGCCTCCTCCAGGCGGTGTTTTCTATGTCAGAACCTTTTCCTTGCTGTGGGCGCGTTTGTTGTTGGTAAAATGGCTGCCTGTTTGTTCTTTTATCACTTGGCAGATCTTCCCTTTTGAATCCTTCTTTTAGGGTAATTATTTGATCTACCATAACCGCTGCCTCTACTATAGTGGATGGTTTTCGATCCTGTATCAGCCAGCGAAAATCGGAAGGTACCAATTGGAAAAATTGTTCCAATTTTAAAAGTTCTCTCAGCTGTTGGTAATTTTCCACCTCAGACGTCCTTAGCCAACTATCGAACAGTTGAGACAATCTAGAGGCCACTTGAGCGAAACTTTGGTTCTTATCTCTTTTTAGAACTTGAATCTGTAAAATTCAGGAGTTAATTGAAATTCTTGTTGAACCTGTTTCTTAAATAAATCATAATCCCCATAGGACTCCTCAGGCATTTCTCCATAAATTTGTAAGAGCTTTCCACTTATCTGAGGCCTTAGGTATGTCATCCATTTTTCCTTAGCAACCCCAAAATCCCTACAACATCGTTCGAATGAGATTAAAAATTTCTCTATATCATCATCCTTAGTAAATTTAGGAAATCTCTTTATCATATCTGGGGTATCCACTCCAGAGCTCCCTTCTTGGATGTTACCGGATGTTTGAGACAAAGCTAATTTTTGTTTTTGCAGTTCAAATTCCATTCTCCTCAATTCTATCTCCTGTTCTCTCTCTTTTTGTCTTTCTTCAAACTCTCTTTCCCTTTGTTTTGCCTCTATCTCCAGTTCTCTCTCTCTTTGTCTTTCTTTTGCCTCTATTTCCAATCGTTTCATCTCTAGTTTGTACTTAAAAGCCATTTCTGACACAGGCACTGGCTCTGTTTCTGCTTCAGAGCCCGAACTTCCTTCTTGGTCTCCCTCTGTTTCCTCAACAAGCTTTTTTTGTCGTCTGGTAGCCATATTTCAATGACTTTTACCTCACAATTTATTCTCAAAGTAGTCTTAAGGCACTTGATCAGTTGTTAAACGGATCCCGTCGTCTGCCACCAATTTGTAACGTCTTAGGAGAGAGGAGGAACGATTTATTATTTATTACTCTTAATGGTGCCACCAATGTGTGATGTGAGGTATTATTGGGAGATATGGCACACTGGACGCAGAATTAATGGAGATGAGGCAGTCTTCAAACAAAAGAGAACAAGTTTATTTTGAACAAAGCGTATGGTTGCAGGCTGTTGATAAACTTGGAAATACTTTGAGAACTTTACATGTAACTTGGTTGCAATACAGTTCACACTTCTGGATGTTACAACTTGTAATTGACTTTTACTGTGGTGAAGCACTTTCTTAAACAATGTTTCCTGAGGTGAATAGCCTTCCTGTTTGATCCTTCCGTGATCAAACCCCAGATCTCTAGTTCATTTCTAACTAGTGATGTAAACAAGCTTCTCTTAGTCCTCTCTAACTAATGAAACTAATTAGGTTTCCCCTTCAGCCTTCCTAAACTGAAGAAACCTCTGACTATTCACAAACACTGCTTCTCTACTTCCCACTCTCTCTCTCTCAACTGCTAACTCCGACTCCAAAACCCTAACTGAACATAAACTGTCGTTTTTCAAACTCTCCCCTCTAAGCTCCTCCCACTTCTCTCTCTACAGCATCGTCTCCATGGCAACGCACTCCTCTGACTTAGGCCGCTCCAGCATTACTGCAGCCAATCTATACACCAATACAGTTAAAGTCATACAATTTATAATCAACTTCTGTACACCGGGTAAGGGGAGAGGACCGAGAAGGCTATAGCCCTTCCAACCACTGCTTTGCTCCTCACTTCTGATGGTGCATGGGAAAAGTCAAGAGAAGATCATGGAAGACTATAACGTTCCCATCCTTGTTTGGCTTCCTGACTCTCCTCCCCCACCACCATATTTTTCAAAGACGTTTGGCGGCAAAGAGAAAATATACTGCATTATTCATTCTCTACTACACAATTCTTGACCAAGTAGTTCATGAGTTTCCCACCTGTCCCAGAAATGAGAGGGGTTCTACAACAACAGAGCTGGCAGTAAAAGGGACATTGTATTGACTGCTGTACAGTTGTGAAAATAGCTGTTAATTTAAAGTTTTGAGGTTTTAATTGGGAAGATGAAATTGTCACAATGCAATGTTCTATGTTTTTGCTGCTCAATATTACAGCTGAGTCTTCACTTAATGTGCCTACAGATTAAGCTGTATATGCAAAGATAATTCTTATGTTCTGAAAAATAGTAATAATATCTCATCCAGTAACTTTATCATATGCAGCTATTGGATAAAGTAGGCGGATGTTTGTATTTGATAGTATGGGTTATCATGGGAAATTGAGAAGAACATATATCCCCAACTGCATTACCATACTTACAATCAAGTGACCCTGTACGTGCGTGCAGGTTTGTTGATGAATGTGATGAATGGATGAGAACTGGGCTCAGAGATGGGTCAGTTTCAAAGTTCAGGCAGGAAAGGCCCAACTTGGTGCTGTATGCACCCGTCTGCGTAATCTCATTCTCCTCAAACTCCTTCTGTTTTTCAACTGTCTTGGGTATTTTCCTGAAAACAAACAAACAAAGAGACTTTTGAGGGAACTGGTTGCATACGTAAGAGAGAACATTTTTAGAATTTTAGAAAATGTTTAACTTAAAAAGGGGAAAGCATCTTTTCCATACTTTTGATTTTGAACCACACCATTCCTTGTATCTATAATACTGATGCAATAGTCTAGGAATCATTTAAAAGCATATGGAAGGCAAACCTCTGTCTGGTGATTTCACAGTAGGTAAAACCTGCTCAGTTACTTTTGGCAATTAGGAGAAAGTCAGATACAGAAATAAATAAATAAAATATATTTTTAAAAGAGACAGTGTTAATGGTTGTACTTGTGAAAAAATGCACATTGTAATATAGATGGTGTCTACTCATGCATATGTTTAGAAATAGGTAAACGATCAACTCCAAAAACTTGGGTTGACTTCTCCATGAATTGGTTTAAGTACTGTAGTTTAACTCTTATTAAAAAAGGAACCATCCCCTTCAATAATTAGAGTGGCAAAAGCTGAGAGCTGAATCTGTCCTGGGTGAACCTAAAAGAAGCACTGATCCCACTATTCTCTTCTGCCATGGGGAAGAAACATGGTCCTCTGAGGCAGTGATTGTGTTTTTACCCTTTGTGGAATGAACCCCCTCCATAATTATGATCCCCAGACATACCCTCAACTTACACATGAGGTTAACTTATACATGAGTACATATGACATGTAGTTTTACATATATGAGGGTTTTTTGTCACAAGGGAACAGTTATCATTGGAGTTCAAGTCTCCACAATCCATATACAGTATAACTAACCAGTTCATCATTTTGGCCCTCATGCTAGATCTTGGTCAGGTAGGGAGATCAATACAAAATGTGATTCAATGTATGAATGTATAGATTTATAGTATTTCTGCATTGCTTCCAAGCCGACAAGACCTCCTGGGGTAATGAACAAATTAAAACCAATAAAAAAAACTACAATGCTGAAAACATTAAAAAAAATTAAATACTTTTAAAAACCCTCTAAGAGTCTAAAAACCATTCTAGATTGTAATTGTAAACTAAATATATATATCAGCAAACACTGTCTACTATCAGTCATGTGTACTGTACTGTTTTCATGCTCATTACAAAGCAATTAAGAATTAACTATTAAGAATTAGGCCAACATAAATTCTTGTAATTTAAGAAAACAGTTTGACTTCCAGTTACACAAAAACAGAGGTGTAGTACAAAACCAATTATTAACAATGAGAAGAAAGGAGTTAAAGCTTCTTGATCTGTTTAAACACATGCTAAAGTTACTTCCACATTTAAATGGATCACTGGAAGCTACTTTATAGTCAGACCAATGGCTAATCTAGCTCAGGACTGCTTTCACTGACTGACAGCTATTTTCCATGGTTTCAGAAAGGATTTTTTTCTTAAACTTTACCTGGGAATGCCAGGAATTAAGAAATTAGGGGTATTTTGTTAATGGCCTTCAAGTTGACTATGATAGACACCTGGGCTTCCAGGGTCAGCGCTGAATCCAGGAGAGCCCCTAAGTTGCAAACTTCCATCCTTAGGGGGAGTGTTACCCTGTAAAGCACGGGCTGCTACCCTATATCCCGATCGACCACCTGACTGACCAGGAGGACCTCTGTCTTGTCTGGATTGAGCTTCAATTTGTTAGCCCTCATCCATCCCATCACGGCAGTCAGACAGTGGTTCAGGACCAAGGCAGCTTCCTTGGCTTTAGTTGGAAATGAGTAATAGAATTATATGCCATAGAGATGGTACCAAACTCTGGATGACCACCCCAACGGTTTCATGTAGATGCTAAATAGCTTGGGGGATAGAATTGAGCCTTGCAGGACTCTACAAGCCAATGGCCAAGGGTCCGAGCAGGCATCCCCCATCACCACCTTCTGGGTCCAGCCCTCACGGAACAATCAGAGTCAATGTAGAATGGTGCCCCCAAGTACTATCCCAGAGAGTTGACCCAGAAGGATACCATGGTCGATGCCATCAAAAGCCACTAATAGGTCCAGAAAAACCAATAGGGACACACTCCCCCTGCCTAGTTCTCTGAGGAGGTCATCCACCAAAGCGACCAAAGCTGTCTCTGTTCCGTAGCTAGGCCTAAAGACACACTGTGATATGTCTAGATAATCAGTTCCATTCAAGAATTCCTGGAGATGAGCAGCAACCACTCACTCCAGAACCTTGCCCAAAATGGGGAGATTGGAAATAGGCGGATAGTTGTTTAACACCAAGAGATCCTGGGACAGTTTTTTTTCCAAAATTGGTTTTGCAACTGCCATTTTAAGGCAGGTTGGTATTTTACCTTGCCCCTGGTCATAATTTAAAATTTAAACATCCATGAAAATGTGATTGCAGACACCCCACATATTGCTGAACATGTGATGCAACTTACTTATTTGAGAAAGTTCACTTTAAAATGGTCTTTAAAAATAAGTGTGTTATCAGAGCAATTAATAGGAGAGTGCTACATTAATAATTAGGTAAGCTGAAATAATAAGAGTAATTACAATAAAATAAGCTTGCTTGCAGGAGCACAATTTTGAAGAAAATAATACAGTACGGATCATATTACTGAAAACAACTTAATCAGTTTAGAGTTATTATTATTTTCTTTAATCAACTGCAATACTGGACATCTGCAAAAATAATTCTTCTACATGAACAAATCTCCATGAAGCACCAGCTTGTATGCTTTTTGTGTCCCTCTGCTTCTATGTTGCCACAAGGATGAGAACTATGTAAACTTTACCTTCTCAGAATGGTCAGTTTTCTGTTTTGCCTGCAGTTCAACTTGTTTAATGTGTATTTTTTATTACTCTATAGTCCCTGAACAATTCAAGATCTGAAACTTAAGGTTCTATATTGGCTTAGTCTGAGCAATTAGATATAATGATGAACTGTGTTTTTTAAAGTGGTCACAAAAGTTTCCAATTTCCTTTTTGCAACCACACAAGAGTGAGAGCATATGAAGTCTCATTTGTGAGAGAGCATGTTTGAATTAGCTTTTTAAAATTTTCATGAGCTCTAAAGTGGATGCTAAATCTACGTCGGCAGTGTGTAACCGCCAAGGGTCAGTTGCATTGGCTTTCTATGAAACTTTGGAGGGCTTTACTCCCCTTAAAATGGCTTCTCAATTAAAATTTTTTTTTTGTCATATTTGTTATAGATCATGACAGAACATTCTGCTATTTTGGGGGCTCCCTGGGCTGTTTTAGGTGCTCCTTGTCCAATCTGGAAGTAAACTGGAACTCAACTTCTGATTTTAATTCCTAGGTTAAAACAACCCAGGTAGACCAAAGAATATGGCAAAGCATGAGGAACAGTTTTATTACCAAAAGGTTTTACAATTTCATTGGTGGTCTTCCAGCCTTGGGGACCACATGTGGACTAGAAGCCACATATTCCTCATTCTGATTTATATCAACCTCTGAAAAAAGGCTGCTGTGGTCACCTATTCCTATCAGTTCCTATGATGGATTAGTTAGGTTTGTCAAAGATGGTTGTCATAATTTGTTAGAAACACAATTATCTGCATTGATATTAATAATAATTCATTATCAACATTTACTGAAAGGTTTTTAAATAGTCCCCAATAAATATAAGAACATAGCAGGTGAATGTAAGTATTTCAGTTCTTTATCAGGAATTGATTTCAAAAGTTTATGTGGCTCCCTAAAAAAAATTACAAGCTGAATTCAGTGCTGATCAGGTACTTCGTTTTTTTTATTGGGAACTATTCCTCTTTGCAGCAAAGAAAAAAAAACTGTGTTAGGAAAAAGATGCAAATTAAATGTAACTCTAAACTACAATTAATATTTTAAAGATGTGTGTATGTCTATGTGTGTGCATTTACATATGTATGTATCCATGCATTAGTTATAAATCAAAGGAAAAGCAGCTATTAATGGATTTCTAAGAAATCCACACTGACCTTAAAAAAACTTTTTTTTCATCTGGTTTATGGAAAAGATCAATGGAATCAAATTTTCCCAAATAGTTCACCCATCGTAGTTTGAGTGCCAGGAAAATGCAATTTCCAGGGACAGTTTGCTAGCAAGAATAATATCGCCTGAAATTTGTACATGAGATTATTAATGATTTTGTATTCTTTGCACCAAGTCAATTTTACCTTGAGAGATGCTTTCCCCCACAGATCTACTACTGTTGGCAAAGAAAGCTGGCAAAGAATAATGCCCACAACAACACTTTACAAAAGCCTTGTATGTATGTCTGGAAATTACTAATTTTCTAGTCCAATTTCTGCTGTGACAGAATCTCTGAAATTTCCAAAATTTCTGACAGAGGGTCATCAAAGCTCTTCTTATCAAACTCTAACAAAAGGGAAACCTACCATTTTCCCATAATGTTTAACTGTGGAATGGATAATAATAATAATAATAATAATAATAATAATAATAATAATAAACAACTTTATTTATACCCCACTAACATATCCCGTAGGGACTTGGGACAGCTTACAAAAGGCACACAAAGATACCACACATAAAATACATAATACATAAAATAAAACACATCAACATGAAAAAATACATTAATTAAACCAGGTATATAATTGGATAAAACCAACTCTATTAAAAATAGAATAAGTTAAAATAACCATGTAATCCATATAGCAACACAGCTGAATGCACAGAATGTAGATATAAAGTGCTAAGTGATTGGCAATCAGTTCTGGTTACTGTCTAAATATTATCTAATGCCTGCTGGAAAAATCAAGTTTTTAATTGTTTCCTAATGTGTTGTAGTGTAGGGGCTTGTCTAAGGTCACTGGGGAAGGTGTTCCAGAGCCAGGGGGGCCACCAACTGCACTAAAGACGGAGTCAGGACCAAGAGGAGGGCCTCCCCGGCAGATCTTAGAGCCCACACTCGTTTATAGGGGAGATATGGTCACGAACATAGGCTGTACCTTATTATTTATAGCATTTAACAACAACAACAAAAAAAACCTTCTGTGTAATTGGAACCCATTGG